ACCGCATTTATGCAAAAACTCAGCCTTTTGAAGCTACGACCTGAGGAGAGAGCCATTGACTGGTGACTACCTGCTCTGTTCTTAGAGATCAAAGGCCTGAGCTGTATAAATAAACTGCTGAATTGTCCAGGTGGGTCTGGTTCCTGATCTAAAACCTGACAAACATGTAACCAAAGGGGCAAACTCAGCCTAGGGTTTGAAAGACTGACACAAACCAGAGCCCTGTATTGGAGCTGGGGGTGACCTCTGATAAGCTTTTAGAATGCATGTAGGTTCTTTTATTGTTTTTTATATGTTTTCTCTGTAATGCTTTTGCCCTAAGAATAAATGCAGTTTGCTTTGTGAAAGCTGGTTGGTGACTGGTGAGCACTGTTATGGTCCCTAAAGAACGAGTAAACCACAGGTGCTGGACCCCAGTCAGACCTGCTGGAAAAACCACAGTGAGGTGCAGAGGGACTGCAAGCCCAAACCCCCATCTGAAGGGGGAGAGTGGCAGGTCTCTCCCCAAGGAGAGGTGATGACTGGAAAGCCTAAAACCTAAAGTGGGTGCCCTCGAAAAAGACCAGGGGTGGGTAGGTGGGTGAGAGACAAAGGTGCAGTTAACCCAGAAAACTGTGACACCAACACGCTGAGCTCTTTTGAAAAATCTGACCTCTATGGCTCCCCATTTTCCATGGTTAGTTATTGGTTATGGGAGCACAGCATCTCGCTGAATGATGCCAAGTGATAGAGAGGCACCACAATTTGTACATTTCTCTTAAAAGGCTGGGTACAATATAATGGGAATGGTTCCCATACTGGGTTAGGAGGAGTGTGGGTTTGTGTCAGACAGAGCTAGTGGAATACAGTCTCCACCATCTTTATTTAACTCATTGGCAGGTTTTCAGGCAGCTCCTCTAGATGCATGCAGGCACAGAGTTTACAGCAGCTAGATCAGGGGTTCTCAAACTTCATTGTACTGTGTCACGGAGTATGGGGGACTCAGGGCCCTGCACCCCCGGCTTCCTGCGATTCACCATGACTCTCAGCCAGCCAGTAAAGCAGAAGGTTTATTTAGACGACAGGAATACAGTCCAAGACAGGTCTTGCAGGCACAGACAACAGGACCCCCCTCAGTTGGGTCCATCTTGGGGTCTCAGGGCACCCCAGCCCCCTTGGGAGGTCAGAGCCCCGTCTGCCTCCCAGACATATCACCAGCCAGCTCCTGAAAAAACTCTCCCTTCAGCGACCCCTCCCACAGCCCTTTGTTCAGTTTCCCGAGCAAAGGTGTCACCTGGCCTCTAACCCCTTCCTGGGTTCTCATGTTACATGCTCAGGTATTCTCCGTCGGTCAGTCTCCCATCCCCCAATGCAGACCATCCTAGCCACACTCCCCTGTCAGCATTCAAAGACCACAGTAAGAACAGTCCCAGTTCGTCACATACTGCAATGCCCGTGACAACAAAAATTACTACATGATCCCAGGAGGGAGGACCAAAGCCTGAGCCAACCTGAGCCCCGCCACCCCGTGTGGGGAGAGGGGGCCAAAGGGCTTCAGCCCCAGTCAGGGGGCCTGTAACCTGAGCCCTGCCATACAGAGCTGAAACTCTTGGGCTTCGGGCTTCGGCTTTGGCCCTGGGTAGTGCGACTTGGGCACCAGCAAGTATAAGCCAGTCCTGGCAACCCCATTAAAATGGGGTCACGACCCACAGTGCTGTCCCAATTCACAGTTTGAGAACCGCAAAGCTAAATAATGTATTTCTTCTATTTCCTCTTCCCGACTCTTTCAGTGGGAAGGTCTGAAGGTCCAAGTTTGGACACTGCCAAATACAGGGCATATATGGGAGGCCTTTCACCTTGGCAAGGCAGGAACCAAGTCCTACACTCTCCAGTCCTTATAGATATTAGGGTTTTAGGCCTCCATTTCCTACACATAATCCCTTTAATTTCCTAACCTACTAATATGTAGCTCACCAGGTTCACAACATAATCCCTGGAACATACCCTAGTAATCAGATTTGTGTGATATTCTCTGAGCTGAGATCTCCCATGGCAAGTGACCCTCTAGACTGGCTCAAACTTACTCCATCATTTGCAGACACATTTGTTGTTCTACAAATCCCACTAATACCATGTAATACAGGTAGATAGGGCCTAATCCAAAATCCACCAATCGTTGGGACTCTTTTCATTGACTTCAATGGGCTTTGGCTCAGGCATCTAGAGAGGTACACACACAGAATAAAACTTCAGATAGATGTGTCAGAGAGATAAGAGGCAGAAATTCACATTTTGATTTGACATGAGGCTTCATAACTTTGAAAAGGTCATTATTGGTACACATTGGAGTCTCTCTTGTTTTAGGCCTTTGGAAGCGGAACAACTATTCCAGAATAAAGTCACTTTTATTTCGGAATCCTGTAACCATACAGGGAGTTATTCCAGAATAGCTACAGTGGAATAATTATTCCATTATAGCTATGTTGGCCAATAGCCCTGTGTAGACAAGCCCTTGTATTTAGACTGTAGACTCTTTGGGGCAGGGACTGTCGCTTCTTAGGTGTTTGTATAGCAACTAGCACAGTGGGTCCCTGCTCTATGTTTGAGGCTTCTAAATGCTACCAGAATACAAATAATAACAATAATGTTTGTGACATGGTTAGGTCTGAGCTGTACAAGACACTAATGTGGAGAGAGTCTCTCCCAGAAGATCTCATGATCTAGAAGACAGACATGGGAGAAGTAAGGACACGCTGGGAAATCCAAAGAAGAGAACACTTTTTAAAAACACCACCACCACCACGCCTTTATACTGCACTTTTCATTTGTAGATCTAAAAGCACTTAACAAAAGAAGTGATCATCATTATCCCCATTTCAGAAATGAGAAAGCTGAGGCACAGGGAGTTGAAATGACTTAGAATAATAGAATAGAATCATAGAATATCAGGGTTGAAAGGGACCTCAGGAGGTCATCTAGTCCAACCCCCTGCTCAAAGCAGGACCAATTCCCAACTAAATCATCCCAGCCAGGGCTTTGTCAAGCCTGACCTTAAAAACCTCTAAGGAAGGAGATTCCACCACATCCTTAGGTAACCCATTCCAGTGCTTCACCACCCTCCTAGTGAAAAAGTTTTTCCTAATATCCAACCTAGACCACCCCCACTGCAACTTGAGACCATTACTCCTCCTTCTGTCTTCTGGTACCACTGAGAACAGTCTAGATCCATCCTCTTTGGAACCCCCTTTCAGGTAGTTGAAAGCAGCTATCAAATCCCCCCTGATTCTTCTATTCTGCAGACTAAACAATCCCAGTTCCCTCAGCCTCTCCTCATAAGTCATGTGCTCCAGCCCCCTAATCATTTTTGTTGCCCTCCGCTGTACTCTTTCCAATTTTTCCACATCCTTCTTGTAGTGTGCGGCCCAAAACTGGACATAGCAGGGCTGCCCAGAGGATTCAGGGGGCCTGGGGCAAAGCAATTTTGGGGGCCCCTTCCATAAAAAAAAGTTGCAATACTATAGAATACTATATTCTCGTGGGGGACCCTGTGGGGCCTGGGGCAAATTGCCCCACTTGCCCCCCCCCCGTGGGCGGCCCTGGGACACAGTACTCCAGATGAGGCCTCACCAATGTCGAATAGAGGGGAATGATCACGTCTCTCGATCTGCTGGCAATGCCCCTACTTATACAGCCCAAAATACCGTTAGCCTTCTTGGCAACAAGGGCACACTGTTGACTCATATCCAGCTTCTTGTCCACTGTAACCCCTAGGTCCTTTTCTGCAGAACTGCTGCCTAGCCACTCGGTCCCTAGTCTATACCCGTGCATGGGATTCTTCCGTCCTAAGTGCAGGACTCTGCACTTGTCCTTGTTGAACCTCAGATTACCCAGCAATCCAATGGCAGAGCTGGGCATCGAACAGCAAGTTTCCTGAATCCCAGTTGAGTGCTCTAGCCACAGTAATGAGATGGAGAAGAAAATTATGTTATTTACCCAAGGAATTAAGGTTTTTCAAATTCTAAAGAAACGGGAGGTCAGTGGAAGAAGTAGAGACTTTAACGAGAACCAGGCCAAAATCTATTCTCAGTTATGATCATGCAGTCCCACTGGCATTGGGCTCAGGAGAGGTAATTTAATGCCAGAAAAGGTACATGAGACAATTCTGATATGATAGCATTTTAATGTTCACTTTGCACTGATGGAAATGATGCCACAAGGTTCAGGGTAATGGAGACTCAGATCCCACGGATTTTAAAAAAAGCATTTTTCAATCTGTTTACAGAAGAGGGTGAAGACAATCCAGAAAAGCTAGATTATTTGGCTAAAAAGAATTAGCTCCCTGAGATGATCTCCTCCACAGATTCTCATTCTCAGATTGTGCACTCAGAACAAAAACCTGATACAACTTACAAGTCAACGTTAGGTCACTGTACTACTGGGGACAATTTTAAAAAACTGGTCCACACATAGACCCAATGGACAAGAAGAACCAGGATGGGTCTATGGAGAAGTCACATTCAGAGACCATAAATTACAGCTATGTAACCTAGTTTCCCATCATTCTGCCTTCCTTCCTACATTGCCAGTGTGAAATCCTAGGAGTTGTACCACTGATTTCAATGAGGCAAGACTAGAGACATTATTATGATGTTCAAAACAAGAGTTTTAGCACCACCAGCAGCTGTACAGTTTTTCATCCATAGATCTTAAAGCTCTTTACAAGGGTAGGTGGGTGTCATTAGCCTCATTTTGCAGATGGGGAGAATGAGATACAGAGAGAGGATGTGGCTTGCCCAGTGAGTCAGTGCAATGTTGGGAAAAAAGCATTAGGTCTACTGACTTCTAGCACCCTGCTCATGCCACTACAGCACTGCTGCCATACCTCAGAATACTGCTAAGCGAGAACAGGTTAAAGCTGGAATTCATAGAAAATGTCTCTCTTTTCAGGGGAGACAATAAAGGCAAAGCCCACTCCCCACAGTAACTGCTGGTGACTTGGAGCCATTTCCTTACCTTGGTACTACTCTCTTCTTCGTCACAATCTAACCCTTGATGAGAGATCTCAGTAGGGCCATTCTCCTGGATCAGGCTGCTTCCCAAAGTCCTCATCCTCTTGCTCTCAGTTGTCACTCTTACTTTCAGGATATGAAACCCAGTGGATATGGACCCAACTTTCAGGTTGACAGGGTCTCCATCAAACAACAAGTTATCTGGGCTGCTGTCTTCCTTAAAGCCAGGGGGCTGGTAATCATCAGGAGTTACTGCACAGGGAAGAGTGTCCTCAGTTGATAGACTAAATTCTAAGCCACTTTAATCTGCAATAATGGACAAATCCAGAACCTAGCCCAAGTAATTAGGCAGGTCTCTGGATAGATTCAATTGGGGTGTGAAGTGCAAAGGAAACATCCTCCCCAGGACATCAAAGCTTCTGCAGCCCAATGGCAGGAGAAGCCTCCACAAGTCTTTCTGCAGCCCCCTTTTGCCCAGATATACTTGGGTAACCCCACTATCTTCATATTCTCCCCTCACTTTACATCATCTAGCCCAGCAATGAGGTTGTAGAGGTGCAATTGGGTAGCATCTGCTCTACAGAATCTTTATTATTAGTGAAGATACACAAGAAAGAAAGAGACCAGTTTAATCTCAGATTGAAGTTTGTGGGGCTGGCACGAGGAGGAAAAAAAATCTTTTTATGTGTAAACTTGCAATGGGTTGGTGGTCTAGTGGAAACCTCCTGCTTTGTATGCAAATTAAAATCCTGGCTAATCTCTTACAGAAGTAATAAAAATTCTGTCCTATGATCTATTATGCAAGATGTCAGACTAGATTATCGGAACGGTCCTTTCTGGCTTCAAAGTCTATTAACAGAGCACATATGATCTGGAGTCACTGAGAGATAATAAACTTGGGACTCTTGGATGCCATTTATACACTCACTTTCTGGATAAATACCAACCTAGCCAAGTATGTTTGCTCCTCATACTGAGGTAAAGGGAAAGGATGTGTCCCTTTTCCATTGCCCAGCTGTATTTCTTAAAAGTTTGTGACTATTTCCTTAAAAAGCATGTGTCACATCTTTATGCACTGAATGGCACTATTCTATTTTGCATGCTGTCTCATCACAGCAGCTTTCTGGGTCCAGATTTCATGTTTCTATTCTTTGTTCCTCTTTACAGTGGCATGTGTTGCTCATGGGAATTAACAGGAGGGGAAATCAGCTTGACAGGGCAGACCGTTCTCCACTTACCATCATTGTAGTAGAAGAGTTTCATGGTGAGGGTAATGTCATTGGGAAGGGGCCCGAGGTTCTGCATTAAGAGGTACAGCTTACGAATCAGCAGAATGCTGCCTTTCTTAATCTCTTCACTGCTCACCCCCTTTGCAAAGCTCATTTTGGTGCTGAAGCCAAAACAAAAGAGCAACTGAATCATTTATGTCCAAATCCCAATTAAAAATATTCAGCTCCCACTGGTTTGTCTTGCACTATAGTAACAGAGCTTCAGTGCTTTTATGTAGTCCTAGCATGAATAGGGAAGTGACACAGACTTTCGAAAGTGGGAGATGGCATGAAGGAACACAATAGTCCAGAGTTAAGAATCGTGTAATTGACAAGTGAACAGATATTGTAACTGGGGCAATAAACTTCATTATACAAGTGTCGTGATTCACTTGTTTGTACATGACTAAGTTTGGCACAAACAGCCACAATACAAGTGCCTTTCACCTACTTGACTAGCTTCTAAATAATTTTCCTCTAAGGAATGGGGGGAATTGGGTGAGAATCACATGTACAGCAAACTCAAAGAGGTTATGTTCAAGTCCGTCCTGTTCTAATTGAAGTGTGTTGAATGCCCTAACTTCAGTCCTAACATGACATGCTAGTCCAGAGATAAAATTTTCAAGAGTGCCTAAGAGACACAGGACCGTAACTCCATTGACTCTCAATGAGACTTGGGCTCCTACGTGTAGTTTATTCACAGAACAGGACATTTTAATGCAGCCTGTAACCTGTTTAGAAAGTCTTTGCAAGCATACAGTCTTGCTACCAAAAGTTACCAAAAGTTGAGATGATTTAAGAAAAGGCTTTTTTCTGGAAAGATAAAAAGACGTAGCCCTAAGTATGTCTAGTGAGTAGAGTTTAGTGTCTGTAGGCGAATCTTGAAGCTTACAAAAAAATATTGGTAAGGCAATAAATTGACTTATATGGAAGACCAAAACTACTTTTGGTAAAAAATTTGGATGATGCCTTAGAGTAAATCTGTCCTTATGAAACAAAGTATACAGAGAATCAGCCATCAAATCTTGAATTTTGGTTACCCTGCCAGCCAAGGTGATGACTACCAAACACAAAGTTTTAACAGAGAAGTGATAATGGGAGCTGCGCGAACAGCGAACCGCGGCCACTGCAAGCTGCGGGGAGTCGTGCCTGCGGACGGTCAACATAAACAAAATGTCTTGCGGTCCATCAGCGGATTACCCTGATGGGCCACGTGCCAATAGTTGCCGACCCCTGTCTTAGTGACTGCAGCAGTCATTCACCATACTGCAGTGTCAGACATCCGGTGAGGCCTGCAGAGCTGTCTTGGCCACCAACTGGCCTTCTGTAGCCACTGCCTTCAGTTCATCTATGGTCTCCTGAGGAGGTTTTTCAGACAGATGTAAAACCTTTCCCCTGAAGAAAATTGTTTTAGCTAATAAGGCTTGATTATCAGCTATGCAAGTCTGCAAACTAGCAGATGAGTAAACTTTTCTCCCCAGAAGATCCATCTGCTTGGGCTCCTTGTTCCTGGGTTTAAGTTTAGGGGGCCCAGGCAGCTTAGAGCTTTCCTAAGTTATCATTACAACCAAAGACCCAGGGCCTGTGTGTGTAACAAAGTAGTCAAACCCCTCAAAAAAGTACAAATGATCTGCCCTCTTAGATGGCCAACTCGAGAATGTCTTTCATTAATAGGCATGGTCCAACAACCCTGGGGCACTGGGTGCAGCATGTCAAGAAGTTATGAGACCTCTCCTGGACATTCTCCAGGACACTCTCTAAAGTACCCACCATTCTTTTAAGGAGGTCCTCAAAGGCCCTGACATTGCATATTGTGGACATATCAGACAGAGTCATGGTCTTGTCAGATGGCCAAGGAATAGGCTGGTCCTCATATTCCTCCATGAGGACATCCTCACCAATTTGCAGGAGCTTCTGATGAGAGGAATGAGACTCCCTAAAAGAATCACTAAGGGAAAAGGGCAATTTTACTCTGGATCTTGATGAATCTATTGAAATCCTGGGTGCGGGTGGGCTTCTGAAGGCCTCTCCCTCAGCCTAAAGGGAGAAGTCAATAAACCAAGGGTTCAAGTAAAGGCAGGGGATAACAAATGATTAAACAGGAATGGGAGTGAAGGTCACAGGGTCAAAAGCAGGAAGCCAGAGGGGAACGCTGAGCAGAGAACCCCAGACAGAGCCCACTGCTCCTCGAAGGTGTCCAGGGTGCCAGTAGACGCGGCCCAGAGGAACTCTGCGCGGATATGTGTGCAAAGAAGCAGAAAAACCCCACAGTCACAGAATACTTCCACGTCCAGCATCCTCCTCCTGGTATGGTGGATGGCCAGCTTGGCCAGCACCAGGAAGAAGTTGACCAGGAGGTCTTGCGACTTCATGGGGCCATGGATAGGGTGTGCAGACATCAGAAGGTGCTGGGGAAAGTGCAGCCAGAACCTGAGGAGAAGGTTCTGGAGGAGCTGGAAAAGGGGCTGCAGGCTGGTGTATTCGAGATAGATGTGCACCAGGATTTCCATCCTGCCACAGAAGGGGCAAGTGGTCAGGAAGGGGGCTGTACCACACCAAATACACGCCTGTGCAATGGTTCCATGAAGGAGCCACCAACTAATATTCCCGGCGGGCCGTGGAACCAAGGTGGAATACAGACTGACCCACCAGGGCTCCTCACCCCCCACAGATGGTAGGAGGCCCTGCCACTTGGTGTCGGGGCAGGAGACAAGGGTGAGGAAATTAAAAGTATAGAGCACGAGCATGTACAGCTGTGTCCTAGGCATGGTTCAGAAACACAGAGGGGGCAGCCGGAGGGGCTAGCAGGGGCAGGCACTTGATGACAAGGCCCGGAGGGCCAGGGGCAGGAAGGGAGCATCCCTAGGTTGGATCTTGAAACAGATGAATAAGCAGTAGATGGAAGAGGCTGAGGTCTCCACAGAGACCAAGAAGGCCAGGTTTGCAAACCACATGGGAAGGGCATATGGTAGCACAAAAGTGGAAACCAGGGAAAGAGACCTTTCTGAAGCACTCCTTCCAAGGCCATTCACATGTTGCTAGGGGAGGTGGAGATCTCCTAGAAGGGCTCCTGATGCCAGGCAAAGATGAGGATGAAAATGTATAAAATTCCTTTCACAGAGGAGCTGATTCCTGAGGTGTAGAAACAGGAAGAGCCTCACATCTGACAGCATGAGAGGTAGTCACCAACACCACAGAGGTTGGACACGGAAAAAATTTCATCTTTGGAACGTTCGGCTGTGGTACCAAAAGAGTCCTGGGTACTGGAGATAAAGGAGAGAAATCTAGCAATGGGGACTCCTGTTCCAAAGTGATCGTAGGTGATGTCAAAGCAACCTTAGTGGATGAAGAAGGCAGCGCCCATGACTCCAAGATATATGGTACTGATGCCCACAGTACCGAGATAATATTGTCAGTCACCGAAGGTATAGGATGTAGTATCGTAGCTAAGGAACATGATTCTCCCAGTCTTTGAAGACTCACAATAACAATGTGGTTTCAAAGGAGCCATTTTAGACAAGTCCTCTTCTTTGTTAGTACTAGGGATGGCAATCTGTGCTGAGCCCTGTCTGGAGATCTTTGTTCTTTCCTGCCTCTCGCAGCAGGAACTACTGATTGACCTGAGGACGACTGACAAGAAGACTCAGAGAGCTTGACAGCAGCATGAAGTCTTCTGAGGACAAAAGATCTATCTCCCAGAGAGATGTCTCTTATAGCTGAAGCACTCATTGAAACTGGTTTCAAAGCTAGAAGAGACTGTTCCCAAGGGGGTACCTCAGAGTCAGACACACTCCACATAGATCTTTCCGTTAAAAATAATTTTAAACAGGCATCATGACCCCTCTGTATGTGCTTAGAAAAAGAGTTATAAATGGCACACTAGCTAGGGATATGAGACTCCCCTAAACACTTTCTAGATGCATCATTGGCAAGCACAACAGTCTTGCAGGCAGGGCAGATTTTAAAGCTCAGAGACCTGTTCTCCACCATCAGAACTATTCCTTGGTACTAAGGCAAGACTCATAGAAAGCAAAATTGCTTTAATTTGTGTTTGCTTGTTTTAGCAGCAAGCTTAACTAAAACTTACCAAGAAAATACACTAACTCCAAGCTAACTAACTATACCTCTAAAGTACTAAAAGGCTAAGAGGAAGCAGGAGGACACTATGGGCTGTGACTTGCTACCATGGGCAGTGAGAAAGAACTGAGTAGCTGTTGGGGCTGCCCCTCCTTTTTTACCCTGATGTAGGGGGCATATGAGGCACATGTACAGCCCCAACAGGCACGGCCAGCTAAAAGATTCCAGGCTCACGCACACAGGACACATACACCTACAGTGAGAGCCGAACAAATGTTTGAAGAAGAACAATCCTTATGGTGTCGATATTATGCTGCACCCAAGGGTGGTCATTGGCAGCCAGAGATTGAACGTGGGACCACTGAATTTCAAAGCATGAGACTATTGCCTGAAGTACAACATCCTGCTCTGTTAGCCCAGGCTGTAGCAGGCTCATCGAATTCTATGTATGGGCCAGCCACCACCAGAGAGGGGCAGAGCGCTACACAGAGTGGGGGTGGGATACATCAATCTTGTCCTTAATTCAGCTCTGCTATATCAAGGTGTTACAGCACATGTACTGTGATATGTAAGCTCATCAATGCAGGAGTTCAGATCCTGCAGGATGCTGAGTGCCCTTAATTTCCACTGAGTTCAATGGCAGATGAAGCCATTCAGCACCTCATGGTATTGGAGGGGTGCATGATACAATCACAAGGGACAGTTTTTGCTTTAAAAACGTTTTGATGAAGCAAATTTCTCACTGTGTATTTTTCAGAAATAAAACAAAGCCATTACCTGACGATGTCCATCTGGGGACCGTCCTTTGTATACTTGAATTTGAACTGATACAGCTCAGTCACCCTCTAGACATTCAAAAAGGGAGCAGAAAAAAAACAAGTCTTTCAGTAACATGTTCCCAAAGAAAGCTCAACAGATTGTGCAGGAAACTCTCTGGTGTCCATGCTTCCTCATTCCTATGCCTGTCTAGCAGGATCAAATTACTGACTAGGCTCCATTTTGATCTCAAAAATCATCTGCAGATTTTTGTCAAACTTTCTTAAAAGAATCAAATGCAAATTCACTTCTGGGCTGAGAAGAAACATGAGAAACTCCAACTCAAAAGGAAGCTGGGGGAGAAAAATCAGGAGCCACTTAAAACAGGAGGCCATAATGCAAATGGTATGTTAATTAGAGCTTACACTAGTGATGTTATGGTTAGGGCTGGTCGAAAATTTTGCATCCAAATGGTTTTTCGATGGAAAATTGGGTTTTTGACTAAATAATTTTTTTTTTTTTTTTTGCAAAAATTTTTTTTTTTCTGCCGATTTTTTTTTGTAAAAAAAAAAAATTAGCCTGAAAACAGAAAAATGTCAATTCTGAAATGGTACCGCAGGGTCTCATGGAAGTTGTAGTTCAGGTGCCTCTTGCTCCCATTTTCTTCTAGGACCAGGCTCCCCAGCCAGACTACATCTGCATGATGCACCTTGGCCATGCAACTGTCATTGCCAAGAGGGACCTGTGATGCACCCTGGACACACCCTTCCCTTGCCAAGAGGGGACCTATGGTGCATCATGGGAGATGCAGTCCTACCAGGGAACTTA